CTCCAGTCTATCGCCTCTCACCTGCCCTCAATCCAGTCATTCTACCAGGCTACACCTAACAGTTCCTGCTTCCTAGGTGCTTTCTTTGATTCCCCAGTTTAAATTTTAAAAAAATGAAGATAGTATAAGCAGCCTCTGAGACAACTTCAAGAGGTCCAACATTCACATGATACAGGTGCCAGAAGGAGAAGATAAGGAGCAAGGAATTGAAATCTGTTTGAAAACATAATGAAAGAAAACTTCCCAAATTTGGTGAAGGAAAAAGACATGCAAGCCCAGGAAGCACAAAGAGTCCCAAATAGGATAGGTGCAAAAAGGCCCACTTCAAGATACATCATAATTAAAATGCCAAAGGTTAGAGATAAAGAGAGAATCTTAAAAGCAACAAGAGAAAAGAAGTTAGTTACCTACAGGGGAGTTCCAATAAGACTGTCAGCTGATTTCTCAAAAGAAATTTTGCAGGCCAGAAGGGATTGGCAAGAAATATTCAAAGTCATGAAAAGCAGAAACCCACAGCCAAGACTGCTCTACCCAGCGAAGCTCTCATTTAGAATGGAAGGGCAGAAAAGAGCTTCCCAGACAAGAAAGGACTAAAGGAATTTATCATCACCAAACAATTATTATATGAAATGTTAAAGGGGCTTATTTAAGAAAAAGAAGAAAATTAAAACTATGAACAATAAAATGGCAAAAATACATATCTATCAACCATTGAATCTAAAAACAAACTAAGCAAACAAGAACAGAGACAGAATCGTGGATACAGAGAACATTTTGATGATTGCCAGATAGGATGCAGATGTGGGGGACTGGTTGAGGGGTGAGGGGATTAAGAACTACAAATAGTACAAATACGTAGTTACAGAACAACCATGGGAATGAAAAGTACAGTACAGGAGATGGAGTAGCCAAAGAACTTACACGCACGACCCATGAACACAAACAATGGTGGGGGAATTGCCTGGGGGACTAAGGGAGGTGCTGGTTGGAGGGGGGCAAAGGGGGGAAAATCAGAACAATTCTACCAGAGTAATCAATAAAATATGCAGAAATAAAGAAAACATCACTATATTTCAGCTGCACCCAGTACTTTTCTTTCATGATGCCTGCTCCAGTGTGTGGTCATGCAGTTACAGGCTGATCATTGATTAAGGTCACCTCCCCCTGACTCTTTATGAGCAGGACTCATCTGTGTTGCTCACTCCTGTATCTCCTGTGCCAAACACCCATTGTTTGCTCGTAGAAAATGTTCTATAAATATTTGTGTAAAATATAGGTTGAAGCAGTTAGAAAAAGTATCAGAAACAATACAGAACTTAGCTGGGCCTTCAAGGGTAAGGAGATAACTTCATTCTTAAGTGCAAAGGTAATATTCAAATACTTGGTCAAAGAGTACAAACTTTCAGTCATGGGATTTAGTTCTGAGGAACTAGTATAGAGCATGGGGACTATAGTTACTAATATTGAATTGTAAACTTGAAATTTGTTAAGACAGTAGATCTTAAGTGTTCTACACACACACACACACACACACAATAACTATGTGAGGTGAAGGATGTGTTAATTAACTTGATGGTGGTAAATACTTCACAATGCATATGTATAGTGAATCATCATGTTGTACCCCTTAAACACATATAATTTTGTTTGTCAATTATACCTCAAAGAAAGAAGGAAAAAAATGAACAAAGGCAATGATAAGACTAGTACAAACATTAGTCAAAGAAGATGCCAGCCTAGTGCCGGATCCCTAAGGCCCCTGCCATGCTGAGAGTTAACCTGTTACTGGCTGGACTGTGCATTTCTGGAGAATGGGGCAGGGCTGCCAGAATAGGGAAGGGGACTTGGGGCCTCGGAGCCCAGGCTATTCACCTACAAGCACAAACATATTCCAATGCTTTAAACCATATGGTGCCCCTAACCACAGGCAACAAAAATCAAAATTGATTTTTGATTGTGCCCTAAATGTGCCCTAACCACAGGCAACATTTCTACATTTTGAAATTCCATATGGTTGTGCAGAGGCGGCCAGGCTGAAATTCAGTTCTGAGTAGAAGGGAGCTAGGGGGTCTCCAGCAAAGGGGGCGTTAGGATGCTTGAAAATCTGTGGATGATGGAGAGATGACTGGAAGTGCACAGGGAAGGTGGGCAGAACTAGAGGGGAACTTGTGAAGATGTGACTTTGCCATTTTCTGGCTGAAATGAGCTTCAGTGACCCTGTGTGTAACAGGAAGACACTAGTAGTATCAACGCCAAAGGGCCCCAGTGGGAAAGCCGCATGCAGAGTGCGTGCCATGCTGGTTGCTGAGTGGTAGCCACTGTTATTGTTGTTGTTGTTATTGTTACTATTGTCATCATTATCACTGGGAAAAGCACTGAACAAAGGGGCCTGGGCTCCAGCTCAGTTCTGCTTTTACCTGCAGAGTCCTGGGCACGTCAGCCCCTCTGACCACAACTTTGAGTAAATGAATATGGGAATGTTCTGGGGAACAGCTCCAAATTTTTATCAGATTCTCAGAGGAGTTAAAACTCACTGATTTGCAAATCCTACATTTTCAAAGGCTTACTATTTACCTCAAGGATCCAGAACCAAATTGTCTCATTTCTACATTAAGATAAATTATACTCATTATCACTATTCTGTTGCCCTTTATTCTAAAGATCAACAAATTTATTTTGTGTTTCCCTCAAGAAAAAAAGGTGTTACTTCATTTTTTAAGTGTTGAACTCAACATTACTACTTGAATATAAATCACAATACCCACAATTTCCAAATTCTAAACTTTTATTTCAAATACTTAAACAGAAAGGCGTTAATGGTAAACATAATATTAATGAGTAGAAATATTAAAATATAAAAATAAGTATTAAAACACATACTTTATTGACTTTGAAAACATTTGACATGGAAGTATGCCAGGCTCCCCACATCAGATAAATCCACGTCGCCCTCGTACCTGAACTTTCCCTAAAACAAGAAAATAAAAGATGCTTGGTAGTCATTAAACAAACTTTATGATTATTTGTAAGGAAATAAAGTGAAGTACAATGCCACAAAAAAAAACCTCACCAAAAATGATCTCTGAGGTATGTTACTGTAGTTAAATGAAAAAAAAAACATAGGGCCAAAATATGCACTCATTTAAAATTGCTTGACATCGAAAGCATAGACCCTCTCTCACCCAGTCACTGAAGACACATGCAAATCTGCAGTCAAACGTCACTTGCACCCAAACGATGGTTTGTTCCTCCCAACCACCACTGGTGCTTACAAATCCTAACTCCTAGCTGTATGGAGTTTGAACTCTGTTTGACAATGCAAGACCCACACACTCAACAACCAAAAAAAAATCTTTCACTTCATCTACATTTTGTGAAAACAAATTGGGGCAAAACTAAATTCCAGTTCGCCTGTAAGGAAAAGACATCTGTTCCTCCCGCTCTTACTTCTCCATGCAAGCTTATGAATCCCAGAGCGCTTTTTGACCTCACTCGGACCATTCATCACTTCTCATCAGCCATTATCACTGGTCCCTGCAGTGCCCCTTGGTGGGTTGTAAGGGAAACTTGTGGAATCAGATTTCACAGGAGGAAAATGCATTGCACTTGTGAGGTTCCTGTCTCTGCTTCAAAAAAAAATGCTCCCCTCATTGCGGTGAATTTCCTGGAGTCAGTGACTGCATTTGCAATGGGCAATTGTCAAATATCAAACTTGAATATAAAACCAGGGTCGGGGATATTGCAATCTCAACAATGAAGGCAAAAACAACCACAGGCAACATTTCTACATTTTGAAATTCCTGTGGCCAGATGTTCCTGGGGTTTATCAAAATGTGATCTGACTGAGGGATTATTGGGATGACTGTGCTGTAAATTGTGCTGTTAGTCACATGCACGCCAAATAGTTCCTACGATGCTAGAAAGGGGAAATTTAACACTGGAAAGTATTTACAGTGTCACCAATTAAGTAGCAGAGGGGAAATGGGAAAACATTTACAAACCAGTGCCAGCACGCTTCGGGGACTAGGGTGGGTACATGAAGTCAGCTGTTTTACTAGTGCAGACACACGCTATAAGGATTAGGTGAATGAAGAAAAAGGGTCATTCAAATGCCTATTCATTTACAAAACTCAAAACTTTCACTTTGAAGAAAAAATAAAATTGAAATATGCGTATGTTTTTGATAACTAAACTACATGTGTCTTTGTCAGTTATATATATTTTATATAGAAAAAGAGAAAAAACTGCTGTATTTATTAAATGGAAAATACTGGGTTCAATCCCCATAAAAAAACACCAAATGCGTATCATTTTAAAAAATGTCACTGATGCATGTTTGACAGCTGCAAAGCTCTTTGATATACCGTGTATGAAACATGACAGTTATGGTCAACAGAATCAAAGGAAGAAAAAACTAATTAACACTAACATATTGTTTTGACTCACTAGCATATAAAATCCCATGCCTGCTCTAAGATGCCAGCAATTGGCAGTTCCCACATCTCTGAGGATGCAGACAATAGTTTCCAAATAAGTGGAGCCACCAGAAGTTTGGGGGCTCTTGGGAGCTTTAGCATTGCTTTCTTATGTCACAAGTCCTAAAGCACGCCAATAACTTAAATACCCCCATCCCTGCCCCCAAGACACATAATCCCAGGGTTATGAACTGTGGGGATTAACTGTGGATCCTAAACAAATATAATCCTGCCTTATTAAAAAAAAAAAGGTTAACTGTTAAACTATACAAAACATGGAATTTAGACACTAAATACCTATGTTCAAATTCCAGGCCAAGACTTATTATCATTGTGACTTTGAACAAATCATTTAACCCTCCATCAGATAGGGCTAATAACAATGTCTACATCTACCCCACAGAAAAATGAGGCAAAAATGAACATGAAAATATTCCAAAGTTCCAAAAAATAAAAACACTCCACAAATCTTAACTCTTCCACTGTACTATGAGCAGACTTACCTAAACTCAGCAAGTGGGAGAAGTAAAAAAGAACCCTGCTACGAAAATATTAAATCAGTGAAAGTAAACTGATCACAATAAAAGAATAACCCACTGCAGAGGGAGATACTCCAGGAAACCTGGATTTAGTAAAACTGACCCAGGTATCAGGCAAAGAAAATCTGGCAGAAATTTTCAACAAGACATTAAATCTGTTTTTATACAGTGAGCAAATCCAGATTTTAAAAGTCTCTGTGGCTTTGAGATTGTAGGACAAAACATTTGGAGACTAAATTAATTGAAATGAAAAGTTACAAAGAAAAATGACACCTGTCTCCTGATAGCTAAGTAAACATGTGTCTCTAGATGATTTAGTAACTAACTGGAGCTAACGGTTGTATTCTTCCAGCTTCATTATTGAAAAATCCATGGCAGCAGATGACTGCCTAAACTTTTAAGGTTTTGGTAGACACATCATTGAAACCTAGAAAAGGTCTAATTTTCCAAAAAAAATCATTTGGATGTAGGGTATTCCTGTATAAATGTATCAAATGAGAAAACAGGCTGAAAACACGGTAAGGGCCATTGTGCCACACAAATGTAAGATATTATTATTACTGGAGAACTATGGAAAGCTCTGCAGATCTTATAAAGTAAGCTGAGATACGTGAAAATTGTAACACAAAGAATTCTACAATATTGGTACAGAAAACACTTGTATCTCAATGAAAACTATAATAAATGGAGAGGAGGGAATGGAAACCACAAGACAAGTTCCTTCCCTGGCCTCTCTGGTCATTCCTCTTTGACACCCTTGGCTTTGACTTTCATGTCCCTCATTCACACATGCACGTATCTGTGTTCATCTCTGCTCCCCTGCAGTTACTCCTATCCTGAGCTACTGAGCTTTTCAGATAACCCATTTCTCCTGTTGCTTCTCTGAGCTCCCTAAATGGTGCGAGCAATCAGCACATCCATTATCCATTCCTGACTGGTTTCAGCATCTGCAGCCTCTCCCACCGACCACCGCTTGGTGGATGACCCCCTGCACACAAGAGCGAAGGGTGCTAGGAGAAGGTCTCAATGCAACCCAAAGGAAAACTCATTTGCAAAACCACCTCATAAGCGGCTGTCCTACTTAAAATTCCATTGAATCTTGAGTTTCCAGAGAGTCCTCCAGGCCTAACGGGTCCTCTTCTAAACATCCCTGGGAGTTTACGGAAAACCCAGAGTTTTTTAATGCATTATGAGCATTCATAAACTTCTGAAGGTATTTGGAAGTATACAGCCAGTGATGCTTCAAGACGTCTTCCATTTCGTAGCACTTTGACTGCCTGGCATTCATTTTCCTGAAGCGCCTGAACAGTTTGTTGCCTGACTCGTTTCCCTCGCTAGCCCAGGCCCCGATGGAGCCGTCCCTCTCAATAATTTCAGGGACGTGTGCCAGGGTTTTGTGAAAGTAATTGGTGATTTTGCCCTCATATCTATACTTGAACTTGGTAGAGAGGAGCTCTGCAAACCGCTGCGAATTGAAACTGTACTGGCAGAGAGACTCGGGGCACTCTTTAGCGGGGCACGACGAGCGCCACACGGGTTTCATCTTCAGATAGAGGTCCATCAGCTCCCTCAGGGCCTCGTGCCTCTCCTCGGAGGGAATCAGTTCACACACGGCTTCCACCGTCTCTTTGGTCATGAGCTTCCTGGCAAAGTTGCCATTCATCCTCATGATTGGTTTCAGGTTCATCTTCTTCCGGAGATGCTTGTCCAAGGTAGCCTGCCACCTTTTCCTTTCCTCTTTGGAGGCACTGGGATTCTTATACACCTCCCCTATCTCTAGCTGGAAGATCTTGTAGAACTCGGCCGCATTGCCAATGTCGCAGTGGAGCGCATCTATGGAAGGGACGGTCTCAATGAAGGGCTTGGCTGAGACCCCTTTCACCCGATCCCGGAGTTCTTCCACGGACTCGTGGAACGGGTTGGAACGCCAGACCTCATAGCGCTCCAGGTTCTCCGTGTGGCTTCTGGTTATGGAGTGCAGGACAAGGTTCTGAGAAGCTTCCAGGCGGGTGGCATCACAGAGGGTGCAGATGTAGACCGAGCCAGAAGCCTCGAGGCCTTCCACTTCACGAACAAGTTTCTCATCATAGCCAGTACCCCTGAAGATGAACTTGAAAGTCCGGAGGATGCCTCCCATTTCAAGCATCAGTTCGCTGTTCTTCATGGCCTCCCTCTCGGCAATGAGAGGGCTGAGGATGGCTGTGAGGGTCTCATGGTCGGACTCGTCTGCCAGCATAAGGCACAGGGGCTTGCAACACAGTTCAGAGTTAGGTTTGGCTTCCTCGAACACCTTCACACTCTGCGAGCCGTGTGCTATGGTAATTTTCATGACTGTGAAGGAGAACCGCACCGCCTTCTCTGGAACTGCTGGCCCGCTCCCATGCTTCTCACTCACATCTCCCATCCCGTCACACGACTCCTTCACCACCACAGTGAAGGGGCCGTTCAGGTAGTCATCGAGGTCTTGGGCTCTCATGCCTCCCAAGATGTCTTCTTCCATGTCCATCAGGGCAGACACCAGCGCTGCATCATAGCGAAACCGCTTCGCAATGGTGTCCACTGGGTAATCGTCCACAGAGGAGGACAGTCCAGACAGTCCATCGATAATGCCCACATCGGTGCTAGAAGACACGTTCTTCAGAGGTGGCTGCCACTCGAAGGGGTGGTAGCCCGGCAGAAGGACTTTCTCGGCATTCCGAAGGGCGTGCAAAGGCTGGAAAATCTGCCTCCCCGTGATGGCTTTCACTGTCCTGTACATCTTGTGGTACTGACTACAGCTGAGGAAGGTGTTGACACGGATGGCCAAGCACACGGCGGGCTGCAGGCCGGAGCCACGTCCCTGCATGAGGGCCTCCAGCTCATCGGCTTGTCTGTGCTCATTTCTTGCCCTCAGTGCCAGCAGGAACAGGGTCAGGCACACGGACTTGACATCTCCACCTTCTTCTTTGTCAGCAAAGGCCTTCACCTGCAGCTTGAGCTCCCTCAGACGGTGCTTCTGAGCCCTCCGGGTCAGTGACAGGAGGTGCTGGCGGGGCCGGCCTCCTTTATTAATATGCACAAAAGTCTCTTTTGAGTTCTTGTGGGTTGAGACGTGGTGATTATATTTTTCCAAGCTGACCTCCTCGTTGCACTCTTTGGCTGGACATTTCACCATCAGGGAATTCAAGATGCTCAGAAAGGACTTCACCGGACTCTCCAGGTCAGTAGGGAAGCAGGGATATCGGCAAGAGGGACAATAGCTGCCCATGACTTTGAGGCATCTGAGGATGCAGATCCTGCAAAACACATGCTTACAGGTGGTCTCCACTGGGTCAGCCAGAATGTGCTCACAGATCTGGCAGGAGATAGATTTCACAAAGTGTGCCGGGAAGTCCACTGCGAGGAGCTTGGTGCTAAGATGAATCTTACTGCAGGTGGCAATCTGCTTCATCATTTCCTTGCTGCTGATCTTCGCCTGAGCTCTCTTCTTGCGCTGACGCACTTGTCTTGCTCGGTCAAGCACCATTTTGAGTTTTTTGCTGAGCTGCACGTTTGGCTGATGACTCTTCCTCTTGAGTCCCCGACGGGCATGGTGGCAGATGTCACAGGATGCTGTGTGGGGCTGCCACTCCATGGCTGCATTCCTCGGGAAGTAGACCTCACTTGGGGCACTTCTGAACTTCCTGTGCATGACCCTCCAGCAGTTGTGGCAGAACTCAGTGGGGTGGATCGAGTCAACATCTGCCTTCACATCGATCCGGAAAACCTTGGCAATCAGGTCTGGCCAGGAAGTGGCTCTCTTTTCCTTCTTTCGTAAAAGGACTTGGGTTTTACCATCCACGGGCCCGTGGACTGGGTATCTCCTACTGTGCTCCATGTTTTTAAAAGAATTCCCACAGATGCGGCAGAGATGCCGAAGGTTGGCTTGGTGGATTGCTTTTTCTCTTGCCTTCCCTTCGTCATCATAGGATTTCTTCAAAAACTTAGGGTGAGGCTTTAATGCTGGTTGTGTCAAGGCCGGCTTCTCAGCCTCAGGCTTGTCCAGGGCTGCAGGAGATTGCTCCAGAGAGAGTTTCCCCTCAGAAAAATCTTTCTTTTCCATTGGAGCTCCTTCGGGCGCCTTTTCCAAGGATCTCACCCGGAACAGCTTAAATTTCCATTCTGAAAATTTAATATGTGGGTGCTGGATTTCATCCGGAGTAGAACTGAGTCCCGGAGTGGGTGGCAAGGAGACAGCCATGCTGGCTGAATTGCCTGGGAACAATGAAAACAAGTCAGATTAGAAAAAGACTTCAACATCTCGCTGATGCATCTTGGAAGGGATACAAATTAATACGTTCAAATAGTTACTCATTAATTCATCCAGAAAGTTACTTATTAAACCTCCTATTGTAATAGACTATGGTGGGTGCTGATCACCCAGCAGAGAACAGAGTAGTTCCTTGTTCTGGCACTGCTTGTGGTCTCTGGACCGTGTATGGAAGTCCATGCACCACCAGGTGCTTCGCTTTGCTTTATATACGTGTGTTTGTTGTATATACATGTGTGCAATCTCATTTCCTTTCCACCAAAAGCTTCAGGTCTTTGAGAACAGAATCTTTGAGTAAGTCATCTTTGTCTCCCCCAGATTCCTAGTACTCAGGTGCTCAGTAGTTATTCGCTGAGTACCTGCAAGGAAAAACTAGCTACTAAAACCAAAGAAAAGTCATATTGTTCACATTGCATTAGCCTCATTGCACTAGCTGGACAATATATTTCCAGCTGTTTAAAGCAGTCGTCTGGGAAGTAGGTTGTTTACTTCTTCCAAACAGGCCATAAAGGATGATAAAGCTACTAACCCAAGAAACTAATTGCTCACTACTTGAAGGATAAAGTGAATGTTGAGGTTTATGAATGCGAGCTAATAATAAGAATCATGGGTAGTAATTTTGTTTGCAATTTTAATTAGTGAACACTGCTATAAATTACAAGGCTGTGTCTACATTAGAAACAAAAAATACATTACTCTCTAAACCTGCATTAAACCATAATGGGCACATACAAAGATTCCAAAGGACTTATAAGATGAAAAATTCAAGTCGTTTCACATATAAGCCTAAGCAGCTTTGCAGTGTTTGTGGGGCTGCCATCCTGAAATTCATCCCTGGGCAATGGCCAATGGCTCTAGTGTTTGTAGCAAGAGGTGGGAGTAATATTCATCTTCTGGCAAAAAAATAAGAAGTGCTATTAGGTATGCCAGGAAAACCTAAAATTCTGGGGGGTGGTGTGGACCTCAGTAAGTGTTGAAGGATAAAGTCTGAAAATGTCATTTGGGTCCTTTCTAGAACCAGTTGGCCCACTACTCTCAAGATCCTTTGGCACACGTGAGTGGGAAAACAGCATTTGTGTTTTCAGCCTTCTCTCCCAGATTAGCCTGAGCTAACACTCTTGAATCGCCAGTTACATCAAGCAACACTTTTCCCCATCAATTAATTAGCTAACCAAAGTGGTGACTTTTTTTTTTTAATGATCGTGGGGTCCGGGAGACCAGCCCTCGGGTGAACGCACTGAGTCCGCAGATGGGATGGGGGCGGGGCGAAGGGGCTGATCCTGACTGCGGCTCACAACGTTTCTTTTGGGGGCATCCCCTCAAACTCCTGAAGTCTGTTCCATCTTGCACGCATTTTGCTTCAGAAATTGCTGTTTTCCATAAAAAGGAAAAGCCAATTTCCAAGACTCGGTTAAAGGGAAAATCCTGTTAAATTGTTCTATATGCAGAACCATGTGAGAACGAAGCCAATTCCAAACTTTTTGAAAGGTCCCACTAACCTCAAGAGTCCTCCTGCTCAACCCAACAAACACCTCAGCGACACATACAGTTCAGTTAGGTTCCTAAATCCCGTCCTGTGTCAGGGGTGAAAGCTTTCCATGTCTCCCCTGCCCTACCAGCTTGAACTCATCCCCAAATGCCTTTTCATTCCTTTAGCCTTTCCCTTTCCAGTCCTTTTAGAATGCACTTGTTGTCTGGAATTCAGCGATAACAACAATCCTCACCAGAGCTAATCACAATGAGTCAGTGAGCACCAGACGTGTTGCAAAGGTCCCTAGAACTCTCTCCCCTCCCCTCCCGCTCCTCCGCTGACTCCCACTGGTCTGTAATGTTATATCAGAATCTACCAAAATGCATTGATGTAACTGCTCTCACGGCAAGAATGCCATCACCAAGCGGTCATTAAAGATTGACATACAAAGCAAACGTATTTGTTAGATTGCTTTCCAACTCAACTCCTAAAAGTTTATTCAAACTAGAAGCAAGAAGCACGGGAGGGGGCGCTGTTACTCTTGTTTTTGGAGGAATAGTCACCAAAATGCTAATAATAGTTATCAGTGGAAGCTAGGGGTGTTTTAAGTTTTTTATCCTTACCTACGATTTTCACTTTTTCTCAAATTACCATGTATTACTTTTAGAAGACAGAACTTTTAAGAGCTATAGTTAAAGAGGTTTTTTTTAAATATATCTAAATAGCAAAGATTAAAAACATCGCTATTTCTCAGCTTTAATGATAGCATGAGGAAATGAAGACATTTTGGAAGGAGTGTACATTGGTATAATACCTCTAGTGGACAACTTAGCAATGTTTCTAAAAAGCTGAAATATATTTTATCTTTGGTATGATAAATCTGCTTTTAGGATGTTTTCTATAGAAACAATCCAGCCCTTGCTGGTGTGGCTCAGTGGATTGAGCACCAGCCTATGAACTGCAAGGTCACCAGTTTGATTCCCAGTCAGGGCACAAGCCTGAGCTGCAGGCCAGGTCCCCAACAAGGGGTGCATGAGAGGCAACTGCACATTGATGTTTCTCTCCATCTCTTTCTCCCTCCCTTCCCCTCTCTAAAATAAATAAATAAGTTCTTAAAAGAAATAAAAAGAAACAGTCCAAAAGGTTATTCTTGTAGGAATAAACATTCCACAGGATATCCCCTCTTATCTGGAGATAGAGAGAAAGATTTGTTCTAAAAATTGCTACTTTAAAATAGGAAGCAGCATAAATAATCACCAATGGGGCATTATTAAACTATGGTCCAGTATAGAATGGAAAACAGTGCAGAAATTTAAAATTTCTATATGCACTGTTGTATATATGCAATTTCTATATGCATTGATAATACAATAAGATGCCCATGTGTCAAAACAGAGAACAGAACAACAATAGCAATGTAGTAGGGCTCCTTTTATGCATATTTGTTCATATTTCCATATACCTGAAGGTGCAGAGATTCTGGAAGGGTGTGCACTAAAATCTTTACTATGTTTACTCGCCAGGAAATAAAATTAGCAGTGGTAAGAAGATCTCTTTATTTTATATTTTGTTCATTCTTGTATCACTGGAATTTTTCACAACAAACATTATTTTTAAAAATTTGTCATCAATTCAGTTTAGGGGAAAATGTTTTAAAGACCAGATCTACATGTATATTCATGGTCACTTTTTCATATTTCTTTCTACATTTTCCCCCAGAGAAGTTTAAGACCTGGCTAAACCTCAAATCTGACCACCATCCTTAGCTTATCTTTCTTTTCTGGTAAGCATGTAGAGAGCGGACTAAAACATGGAGCTGTAGACAAAACGAAGTTAGAAAAGTTATCTTATAGCCATTTTTTCACACTCAGGAATCCTGCAAATGCTTGCTCTCCTTTCTACTAACAGAAGTTCCCCATGGTGGACCAACCACAGAATCTAAAATGCAGAGTGGCTGTCGCTGGCTCAGGGCCATCCCCATTGGATGCTGCCATCTCAGCCTTGCCATCACCTGCCAACACAGCTACTGCGGTCCCCAGTACCGGGCACAGAGCCATCTGTACAAACCAGTCTGGGTGGCTTGGGTGAGGCAGAAGCTGTCATTGGTGGGGAGTGCTGTCAGTTACTTCAGGAGGTTGGGCCACAGCAGCAGCACCACCCCCCACCCTAGTCCAGCTCCTCACCCTGCACACATACACATATCCATCCTAGTACTTGTCCCTCGGTCTCCCCTCTTAACATATTTCAGTTGGTCGACACACAATTTCTAAGTGACTCATGTATGCCGAGGTGTGACCCCTGATTGTCACACCTGTTCCACTCATGCATTCATTCACTCCACCAATACTAATTTCTACAATTTGCCCAGCACCAACATCCAAAAGCCGACAGCATCAAAAGCTTTTTTCTAAGCCTTAGAGGCAGCCACAAAATATCCCCAAGGGCCTTGCCTTTCCTCCAGTCAACTTACTGCTTGAACCACTTCAGAAAGAGAAGTTCATTGCCACAACCCCTGGACAGGAATCCTGGCTCAAGGCCATAACGTCAAAGCAGGATTTCCACAGTGGCAATTCTCAACATTATTATGTATCAGAATCATCAGGGAGCTTGTGCTTTAAAAAATAGTAACAATGCAAATGATCAGGTCCCAGAGATTCTGATTCAGCTCATCTGAGATGCAGTCCAGAAACTGTACTTTTTAACAAACATTCCAGGGATCCTGCTATGAGCAGCCCACTGGCCACACAGTGGGAAACACTGGCCTCCTATTTAGTCCAAGGAATTGCTGGCACGGCCTGCTAATAGCCGAGAACGTACACATTCCCTTCCCCCCGGAATCTGTTCGCTCCTCATAATTTTTGCTTTCCTGGACCAGCACAGTGCTTTTCCCCCTGAGACCTCACACCTTTCCTTCTGCTGATTTGTTTACTCATCCCTTCAAGGAGCACCCCTTCAGCCATGCCCCTGCCAACCGCATCCATTTGTAGGAACTCCGATATTTCGTGCCTTCTCTATGAACCTACGGGGTCTTCCTAAACTTGGCTTCTTATTCCTTTCCAATGTTCATACATTAGAGAGCAAAATCAAATTGATGTCAGTTTCCTTCACTCCCTCCCTTCATCCCCTGCAAGGAAAAAAGCTCAAGTATTTCTGATTAGAAACATAAAAATGGACATAAATATATAGCTGAAGGCAGGGAAAGTCCGAGTGTTACCTTGCTCAGCAGGCTGCCTGGGCAAAGTGTTGGGATGTCTGTAATTTGGTTGATGTTATTGGGTACCAACAAGAAAGCAAAGCGTGCGCTCCTCTCCCTCTTTGCTCTCTTGTCCCTCAGAACAGATGGCTGCATTATTTATCGGCTTCCACTGTCCTTCCCAGCCTCCCCCACCACGGAGGGCTAACCACAGACGATGGCAGCCAATCACGGCCCAGGAGCCCCCAGCTCCAGCTGGCACCTGGCTCTCCAGGAAGCTTTGCTGGGCGACCTGAGCGCAGCACTGCGCACGGGTGTGTGCTGGAGCATTGCCAAAGCTGCCAGTTCAGCCCCGTTTGTTTGGAAATGGTCTTGCCAGCATAAGCTCTGCTTCTGGAAAGATTCTATTGCTCCGTGCCTCAGTTCCCTCCTCCATATGATGTAAATACTAATAGTATATACTCCCAAGAGTTTATGAGGTTGTACAGTGAGAGTTACAGGAAAGTGCCTGCCCTTAGTACAATAGCTACCCATCAAATACTAACTACACAATGATTTTTTATTATTATTTAGAAGTGCTGTCCAAAGCACCCCAGCATCCTCCCCAGCCCCGGTCAGTTCTCAGGGGAGGCTGGGCTTCTTGTGACAACACTAACTTTAAACACTGCTCCAGTTTTCCAGTCCACAGACTTGGATGCCTCAATTTCCTCATCTACAAACTAGGACTAATAATATGAGCTCCTAATTATTGAGAGCAAAAAGCTGGGCTTCCGAGTGCTTTACACACCATTTGTCACAACAGTCCTGCTCATTTGACATTCTTTTCTCCGAAGAGAAGCAGCAACAGCTTGGAGCAATGAAGAGCTGGCCAGTGGTCACATGGCCTCTACACGGTGAAGGCGGGTGGGCTCCCAGAGCCCGTGTCCTTCGCCACTGCACTCTCTTGTAAAAGGGGAGCACCTAAGGCCACTCGTAGCCACGGTGTGAGGATGACTCAGTAATGAACCTAGTGATCCGAGTGCCTAGCACAGTCTGTGTTCCAAAACCCCTTATAGCTCTCAGACCAGCTTTACCCTCTAAGCACCGCTGTGTTCAGCTAGTATGTGAGGGATCACCCTGCTCTCACTTGGGCCCCAGCACGAACGGTCAAAGAGGCAGAGGCTAGGGTTTCTCCGTGCTCTGCTGCCTTTATTAGATACTCCTCTTGCATCCCCACTGCTCTGCACTCGGGCCTGTCCAACCACACAACAGTTCTGGGGACACAGCTCTGCTCAGCAAACTCAAGACAGAGCAGAAGCCACCGCAATAATATTGAGAAAGAGGGAAACGGGCCTGTGGCTCCTAGGAGCTTTGGTGTTTTTGTGCCCAAGGGGATGAAACTTCCGCCTGGGGTTCCCATGACGTTGTAGGGCTGGGCGGATGGGAACAGACTCTTTCCTGAATACAGGGCACATGTTCGAGTCAGCAGGAAGTAGGGCCTTTGGGATGAACCTCAATGTCATCTTTATATCGTACACTGCAGTCAATAGAGAGGATTGCAAGGTGGCTGACATGACAGATGTCCTTCCCATCTGTCCTCTCAGGCTCCAAAACACTCCATCTCCACTAACCTCTCAGAAAGAGAAAGGAAGGGGCAGGTTCTCTTGCTTTACCTTGAAGGAAACAGGGAAACAGTAATATCTTAGAGAATAGGGAAAAAAGGAGCAAAAACCAGCTTCCCAGGACCAGACTTAGGTCATAGACTGACTTAGAAGGTTAAGGGGAACGAGCGTGACCAACCGCCTGACCTGCCCGGGACTCTCCCATATTTAGCCCTGAAGGCCAAGGCCACACAGGCAGTCAGTCATCCTTCTGTCCCAAACCAGAACGGGAAAAGGTTCTGAGCTCAAAAACTTCATAGATGGAATCTTCTTCAACTTGTTCTTGCAGAAGTCAGATGGTTCAACGAGACTCATCAAAGAACATTATCCAGGCTGTGGGGAGCAGGGGCATGAGGGTCAGACTAGATCATGGGAGATCTTTCTTTTTCTTACCATACTTACCATGAATTTTTTTGTATTTTAAATTTTTAGCAGCCGTGTATTACTTTCATAAATATAAAAAGCACAATATTTACAAATAAATAAAGTGTTAACAATGTAAAACAAGACAAAAAGCATTGGGTGCATGTGAAGATAAACTCTTCTCATTGTTTTGTTTCAGAAACATCTGGGTTTGTTTACATGAGATTCTGCAAGGGCAGGTGTGCCAGACTTTCTTGTTCTTCCCCACGACACCTGGGGGCTCGCTCTCCCATCCACGTTGAAATCCTGTTGCCCTCACCTGTCCTCTGCTGGGAGATGGGACCTCCACTGGCCACTAAAACTCCACACACTCTTCTTGTTTCAAATCTTTTCCACGTAACGAATTCCACCTGGAGCCCACTTACACTTCCATCAGAAAACGGCCAAGTCGGAGCTGCCTGAAATTCCACGTTGCTCCAGGCAAATTAAAAATAAAGCACTGCTGACAGGTCTTGGCCAATTTAGCAAGCAGGAAAGAATGAAAAGGGCAAACGAGAGTTTGGACGACTCAAGGCCAGGTTCCAGCCTTGAGCGCAGCCCACCTGCTGAGCGCTTAGCTGTGGTTAATCCTGGAAGTGCCAGCAGGCCCTACACAGGCCAGCTCCCACTGAGCACATACACCAACCAACATACCCTCCCTCCCTGCACCCACCTCTCCATCGTCCTTAGCAGGCTGCCTACCCTTATTCCCCTTGGCTCCCTGCAGACCCTTGTAAAGAGACCTTTTCAAATTCAATTTCTTCCCAGACAGCCAGGAGCTCCGGTTGCTGATATCAATCAAAATCTACTCCTGCCGCTGTGGTCTGAGTGCGTGAGCACTGCATTTTGTGCTCTTATCATAATCCAGCAGATGCTGTTTACTGACATTGTGATTACAAACGTAAGCCTGTATCTGTATCTCCGGCTAGCAAAACTCTCGTCTTCTAACATCGAATTGAATGCTAGAGCTAGAAGGGAACTTTGGGGTTATCTGACCCAATGGATGTGTTTTATTCGTAGGAAACAGTCTCCTGGAAGGACAAAGTCCCCTGTTCAATGTCACAGGAGGGAATTAGGAGTTACAAACCCAGCCTCCCTGGTCCCAGGACAAGATCCTTTCCACCACACGGCGAAGAGAGCATCCTTCTTTCCCAAGCAGCTTGCTTCCCTTAGCCTGGAAAGAAACTCAAGCTGGCCACGAAGCAGAACCTGAACAGGTCATTGCTAGATTAGCGTCTTCAGCGGCGTGCAAACTTGCCACCGCCTTGGTGGTAAAGAGCCAGGATCCCCACACGCTCATTCCTGCCCCACTTCCACAGTCTTCAAATTGCTTTCTAATTAACTCGACGTTGATTATCCCTGTTAGTAAATTTTCTAATGCGTTATTAATTGCTCTAAACGTCAGCTGCAGCTCATTCCCCACAAACTGAGGAGTGCCGCAGCAGGCTCTCCGGTGTGAGCGAGACTGTTTCTCAAACAGCTAGCGCCACCGTGTGGGCAAAACATTCTGCATCAGCCATTGTCAACCTTTTTCACCTCGTGGCGCCCAGAGACATTACTAAAATTCTGCAGCACACCCCCCAAAATTTTTTTTGCCAATCTGCCCCCCACAAAAAAGGGTATAATTTTGATGCACACCAGACAGCTATCGTTGGGTTGGCTTATGTCACTTTTTTATTTGACAATTTAAAGGAAAAGAGGTCAGTGCCACTGACTGAATAGTTGGGTATTGCATGTTTTAGAAATTCTTGCGGGGCACCGGTGTGCCTGACACGGCACACAGTTGAAAATCACTGGTCTATATCACTGAGCTATCAGAAAAAACAAATCTCAAAATTTGACTGAATGTGTGAACTAGTTTGGAAGGAATCTTGAGTTCGCTTCTCACCTCTCTTCTTCCCCTCATCCGGCCTTCTATCTTCCCTCCCAACCCCTCCACCGTTTCCTACCTGTCAGGAAACCCCCACAAGTCCTGTGGACTAAGAAACAGCACCCAGAGCTTAGGCGGTTGAAGTAATTTGCTCAGGGCCCACAGCTGAGTAGCTCCGGTCTTCCACTGCCATCGGGGTCCGATGTGGAACTCCAGTCTCACTGTTTTGCTACTGCTAACTGGTCCCAGAAAACACGTAATAAATGCCTCCTCCTCGTTCCTCAAACAAGTGAAGACAGGAGGACCACGTCTTCGTGCGGGACTTGGGGGAGCTAGAAAGTGATGTCCGGTGTTCAGGACTCAACCGGACGTCCTTCCGAATTTCGGGACATCTGTTCCGTTTTCAAACCCCGAATATGGAAAGGCATTCCTTTCCTCCTTCTGATTTAGCTGTGTGCAATCTAAGAATGAGTTCGACCACCGATGGAGGGTGAGTTTGATCTAAACTTCTCAAGGTTAGCATTCAAGTTTGAGGAAGGAGCTTCCTCGAGCCAAGCGTAAACACAATGGCCTGAAATGACTAATTGCAGGGCAGCGATAAATGCCTTCACAAAAGTCAAACTGACCCTGGCTGGCGTAGCTCAGTAGATTGAGCACGGGCTGCGAACCAGGCATCGCAGGTTCAATTCCCAGTCAGGGCACATGCCTAGGTTGCAGGTCATGGCCCCCAGCCACTGCACATTGATGTCTCTCTTTCTCTCTTTCTCTCTCTCTCCCTCCCCCCTTCCCTCTCTAAAAATAAATAAAATCTTTAAAAAAAAGCCAACCTGGCAACCCCCCCTTGCTCCCAAATTCGGGGGGCTCCAAAGAGGTCACAATAATACAAAGGGCTTTTATCTATATTTACTACATGGCTTCATTTTCTATATAATGAGAACAATGGCTACATTTCTAATAAATTTTAATTCGAAACTATATTCCTTTGCAACTAATGCATAGTGATTCTGGGGAGAAATGGAAAGGTAGAATCAACTTCTAATTATTTTGGTGCAAAAATTTCCCATAAATTGTCTGTGGCATGTTTCTGTCCACAGAGTTTGTCATTCACTATGTTATTTAAATGTTTATGTTGTTATAAATTTTTCCTGGGTTGAGTGGGATTTTCCCTCCACTCAACCAAGAGTACAGTTTCCAAATGCCGATAAAA